CTTTCTAGTAGCTATGATTAAAAAAAGAAAAAAATAGGTATTTAGTATTTTATTTAACCCCAGATGTCTAAAATATTATCATTTCAGGGCTGGGGGTGTGGCTCAAGCGGTAGCGCGCTCGCCTAGCGTGCGTGCGGCCCGGTCTCCATCCTCAGCACCACATACAAAAAACGAAGATGTTGTGTCTGCCGAGAACTAAGAAAAATAAATAAATGTTAAAATTCTCTCTTTCTCTCTGTCCCTCTCTCTCTCTCACTCTCTCTTTAAAAAAAATAAAATAAAATAAAATAAAATATTATCATTTCAGCATATAATTAATGTGAAAATGTTACTAATGGGGTGTTTTGCCTTGTTGTTGTTCTAAAGCATTGAAAACTAGTTTGTATATAGTCACAGCACACCTCAGTTTGTATTGCCCACTTTCAAATTCTATATAGCCATTTATGGGTAGTGACTACTCAATAYAGGTCTAGAGATAATTTTATTGTCTTTATAGTTGTTTTGTAACATTGCCAAGTCTGAGAATCTACCTAAATGAGAAGAGTAACTCCATGAGGATGGTATTTCTAATTTTCATTTGAATAAATCAAAATGCCTCAAAAAAACAAAACAAAGAAAACCCCAACTTTCTGCCATGGACCACTGTTTATAGAAATGTACTATAATTATAGAACTTAACATTGGTTGGATATATAGCCTTAACCAAAATGCTTAGGACATTAAGTATTTAAGATTTAAGCCACAGGCACATGCCTGTAATCMCAGTGACTTGGGAAACCACAARTTCGAAGCTAGCCTTGGAGGCAACTAGGTGAGACCATCAGCAATCTGGTGAGATCCTGTCTCAAGATAAAAAGTAAGAATGGCTGGGGATGTAGCTCAGTAGTAAATTGCCCTGGGTTCAATCCCTAGTGCAAAAACAAAAATGAAAACCAAAAACTTCAGGTTTAGAATGTTTCAGATTTTAGACTATTTCACATTTCAGATGAGAGATGTTCAACCTGTAATGTGAAATATCTTAGTAGCATATCAAAGACTGTAAAACATTGATGAAAGAAGATGAAGACGACATAAATAAAATTTAAGATATCCCACGTTCATGGATCGAYAAAATACTATTAAAATGTCCTCACTACCTAAAGCAACATACAGATTTAATGTAATCATTAATAAAATTCCAATGTCATATTACATAGAAATAGAAAAAAAATCCTAAAATATTAATTTGAACCTTCAATAGCCAAAGCAATTGAGCTAAAAGGACAAAGCCAGAGCATTGCACTTATTTTTTTGGTACCAGGTGTTGAACCCAGTGACGTTAACCACTGAGCCACATCTCTAGCCCCCTTTTTCATGTTTTATTTTGAAACAGGGTCTGGCTAAGTCCTTGGTGCCTTGTTAAATTTCTGAGGTTGGTCTTAAACTTGCAATCCTTTTGCCTGGGCCTCACAAGTTGCCTGGACTATATAAGCGTACCACTGTGCCCAGCACCACACTTCTTGATTTCAAATTAAAAATTATATGGTGGGCATGGTGACTAACACCTGTAATTCCAAAGACTCAGGATTGGAGTCAGGAGGATCTCAAATTCAAGGCCACTATCAGGAACTTTGTGAGACCCTTCTGAAAATAAAAAATAAAAAAGGTTGAGAATATAGCTCAGTGGTAAAGTACCATTGGGTTCAATCCCTAGTACCAAATAAAAAATAAATAAATAAAGTTTAGTAATCAAAACAGCATGGTTCCAGCAAAAAGAAGAGACACACAGACCAATGGAACAGGAMAGAGCCAGAAATAAACCCATGCATTTCAGTCAACTGATTTAAAAAAGCTGCCAAGAACACAATAGGGAAAGGACAGTATCTTCAATAAATGTTTAAAAAATGGATATCCACTTGCAGAAAAACGAATCTGCATCCTTATCTCACACCATATACAACAACTGACTGAAAATTAAACACCTAATTATAAGACCTGAAAGTATAAAACTTCTAGAAGGGGAAAAGTTCTACAACATTGGTCTGGGCAATGATTTTTTAAATATAACCCCAAAAGCACAAGTAACAAAAGCAAAAATGACAAATGGGATTATATAAAATTAAAAAGCTTCTACTCGGCACAGGAAACAATATAGTGAATAGACAAACCATAGAATCGGAGAAAATATTTATAAACAATACATGTAATAAGGAGCTATTATCCAAAATACATAAGAATTCAACTCAATAACAAGAAAACAAATAACTCCATTTAAAAATTGGGCAAAGAAGCCAGGCATGATGGTGCATGCCTCTAATCCCAGTGACTTGGGAGGCTGAGGCAGGAGAATCACAAGTTCAACGTCAGCCTCAGCAATTTAGTGAGATCCTGTTTCAAAAGAAAAAAATAAAATGGACTGGGAATGTAGCTTAGTGGTATAGCGCCCTGAGTGAAACTCCCAGTACTCCCCCTGCCAAAAGAATTTTTTTTTTWAATATTTTTTTCTTGTCAATGTACCTTTATTTTGTTTATTTTTTATGTGGTGCTGAGGATTGAACCCAGTGTCTCATACATGCTAGGCAAGCACTCTACCCCTGAATCACAACCCCAAACGCTGCCAAAAGAATTAAAAAAAAAATTTTTTTTGGCGTGTGTGGTGATGCTGGAGGTTGAACCCAGGGCTTGATGCATGCATGCTAAGTATATATGCTATCACTGAGTTACATACCCAGCCCTGTCTTTTTTTTTTTTTTTTTTTTAAGTTAAATTTTAACTAGAGCTCTATGGGCTATACACACAGATACCGCCCCCACTCCCCATCCTATTATCATTGCTCACATGCTTTATTTGGAATAAGGGTGCCTGCAGGTTATAGCTACTCTTGGAATCTGGACTAACTTGGAAAAAACAGTAACAGCAGAAATTTTAAAACTGCAGGAAGCTTCAGTAAGTTTAGAATTCTTCCTATCATGTCAACAACTCAACAGGAAGAGAGTTGATTTTCAGGGCCAACAGGTCATGGTACTAGGTTTAGGAAAACAGGAAAAAAGAAAAATCCCCAAAAYAAAAAAAATTGAGAAAAAAGGAAATGTAAGAATCAAACTGGATCTTWTGCTGGTATCCTGTTTGGAGAGAGGAGAAAAAGGAAAGGCTGGAAGGCACCATGCTGGGGATATTGAAAACTAGACTTTTTTTTTCAGCAGTTTGATTATGAAATACTGATTATCAAGGACTATGCACCTTTCCTTTCTGTATCTGTTATATCTCCTTCCCTGCACCCAATACTTTCACCTATAATATAGGTTTGACTTTAAAGAGGCAATACCACAACACCTGTAGGTATCCCTTGAAGCAGGGGTAAAGAAGAAAAAGTAAGCTGGGTGCACGCCTAAAATCCCAGTAAGTTGGGAGCCTGAGGAAAGACTGCATGTTCAAGGCCAGCCTGGGCAACTTAGCAAGATGGTCTCAAAATAAAAATGAGCTGGGAATATAGTTCAGTGGTTAAGTACCCCTGGGATCAATGCTCAGTACCAAAAAATAAAAATAAAAATAAAAAAACAGGACAAGAAGTATCTCTTGACAGGCACCATCTGTCCTACCTGACATTCACTCACCACCACACTGTGACAGAAACAATTTCATACTTACTGATACTCAGCCACACAGTCCAGTAGACCTACATACTTTAAGGTCTCATGCTGAACAGCACTTTCAAGAGCCCGCACTCCACTGACATCTTTCAGAATATGTTGGATGCTTTCGATGTAGCCACATTTGAGGAGTTTTTCATCTCTCTCTTTTATGCTCCCCTGGGGTGAAAGTATGCTTTCCAAGGCTTCATGGAACTGTTTCCCTTGTAAAAAGATGTCTGAAAGAAAAATCAAGGAAAAAGAAGGAAAAAAAAGATACAAACAAAAACAAAGCTAATACTAAAAACCAATGCTATAGACATCATAAAACTAAAAGTCACATGAAAGTTGCCAGGCATGGTGGCACAGCCCTGTAATGCCAGCRAATRGGGGAGGGCTGAGGCAGGAGGATCACAAATTGGAGGCTAGCCTCAATAATTTAGAACCTTATTCAAAACAAAAAAATAAAAATGACTGGGAATGTAGCTCAATGGTAAAGCACCCACGATATTGGTTAAATCCCCAGTACCAAAACCCAAAATCCCAAAAAACAACAACAAAAACACACAACCCATAAAAGTTACCTTTAAGAGGCAACCCCAGCAGGGCACAGTGGCATAGGCCTATAATCCCAGTGACTCAGGAGGCTGAGGCAGGAGGATTACAAATTTGAGGCCAACCTTAGACATTTAGTGAGGCCCTAAACTTAGCAAGACCTTGTCTTAAAAAAAAAAAAAAATTAAAAAGGACTGGGGAAGTAGTTTAGTGAAATACTCCAGTACCAATTAAAAAAAAAGAAAGAAAGAAAAAGAGAGAAAGGGGCAACCCCTATGATACAAAATTTAGCTTCTGGTGGACCCTAAGWATGTACTTTCAAAAACCAAAGGGATCAGATCTGTTTAGAAATGAAACACATTTAAAWGAAATATTTCTAGTAGAATTAAGCCAAAGCTAGAACTGAAGATCTGGGGGTGGCTTGGGGGGCTTAAGGACCACATCTAATTTATGGTACTGTCTGTGTAAGTACCCAATTTAAAGAGTTTTAACTGGTTGTAATAAAAACCATTAGAAATTTAGGGCACTATGCTTCTGGTTAGTTCTTTTTACAACTAAAACTTAAGACAGGCATAGATTAAAAATATTTGGATGTTGTGGAATTTGGATGGGGAGGTGAGAAGAATATGTGGCATTCTTCCTCTGCACTTATTTATTTTTTTGGTACCAGAATCTGCTCTTTTTAATTCACCCCAAGCAAAGAAAGAAGTTTAAACTCAGAGAACACCATTAAGATACACACAACAATTAGTAGGAGATAATACATGCTTGGAGACAGACCCTCATAAAAGGAGAAAAACAATCTCATCCAATAGGTAAAATTAAACCATATTAAGTTTTTCAAGTTTGTTTTGCACTACTGGGGATTAAACTTAGGGTCTCACATATGCTAGGCAAGTGCTCTATCCCAGCCCTTGTCAAGTATTTTTATGAAGACTTTGAAAGTTGAATTCTACCACTGGCAAAAAAATGGCACTGCTTCTAGGAAATTACTTGGAGAATTAAAGATGAATTCWACTTAGTAAATAAATTATTCTATTCTACATATACTTTGCTCAATTTGGATTATTAGCCCATAGAAGGCTTACAAAAAAATTTAAGACTGATGGAATTAAAACCYAAAGAATAGAGATATGGTATTTATCTATAGACTAGCTTAATGAATCAGAAGATAAACATGTCAAAACAGGAAGAGGGCTAAGGGGCGTAGGTCAGTGATAGAGTGCTTGCTCAGCATATGTGAAGTGGCTGGTATTCACCAGCAACATACATAAGAAAATGTTGCTTTATCTACTGYCATGCAAACAGGCAATTCATTCTTTGCTGCCAACCTGAACTGTGGCTAGATTCTTCAATATATGTAACCTCACACAAGGAAATCTAGACTTCAGAGTCCCTTAGAGTATGTGGCTCAGAACATCAAACATGACTCAGTTTATAAATTTGGTCTGAGATGAGGTCATGAATTCAATCCCTGGCACCAGGAAAAAAAAAAAATTCAAGAATAGATTATAGGTATCATCAAGTCAGAGTATTTATTCAATAAAGGAATGCAAGTGAAATGTTTTAAGTCTCAGTACAAGTGCATTTAAAAATAAATCATGCATCGTCAATATTCTGATGCTAGAACTGGCAGGATAGTTGATATTTTAGGATTAAAAAAAAAAAAATTAGTGTTGACTGGAGGGTGTAGTTGTGGTAGAGTGCTTGCCCAGAACATGTGAAGAGTACCACTAAAACAAAACAAAAACAAATGAGTGTAACAAAAATAAATAAATTAGAATAAACTTCAGCCTTTTTCATCATGATCAACACTTAAAGCTGAGTATAACAGACTTTCTCATCCTCACCCTTCTTTTRAAAAGTGAACTTGGAAATTGCTCAAGTGTTTGGAAGAAGGTGAGCCTCTGGGCACATCCCTATGCTTTGGGCTTTGGATCGACTAAAGAGAATTTATCAATCCAGTAGTATTCAGATTGCCTCTCTAGACCCAGTAATCAATTTAGTGACTTTTCTCCTTCCTTCTTTTTTTCTCTTTCTTGACATGACACTAATCTGTATGTGATTGTTCCTATTTTCTTAAAGAGTGAATTGAAGGTTGATCTAGAGTTAACAGAAAAACACAGCAGAAAGCTCATCTAGATCAACAAAGTTGACCCTGAAATGCGCCCAGGGTTACAGGGGCACATTTGCAATCCAAAGAGAAATTCCTTWCCTTTACCTAGGGGGCCACCAGTGCATTTCCTTACTCTGTGCCAAGAGCTGCAGACCCTAGGCTCCCATGTGACCCAGCAGATTTCTCCCTTTACAATTCTTAAATTATCAGTAATTTCAGATTCCTGAAAGTTGTTTAAGGAAAATCAAAACAACTCCTCATGAGGAACATAAATTCTAGTGGTACAAATACAAAACTTAGGTCATTAGAAGAGTTTTTTGGTACTTATTTAGAAAGCGGAGAATAATTTCATGGTTATCCCTAGTTACCCATTTTAAGAAGGCAGCCCCTGAGCCTGGCATGCTGGTACATGTCTTTAATCCTASAAACTTGGGAGGCTGAGGCAGGASGATTACAAGTTCAAAGCCAGCCTCAGCAAAAACAAGGCGCTAAACAACTCAGTGAGACCCTGTCTTTAAATAGGGCTGGGGATGTGGCTCAGTGGTGTAGCCCTGAGTTCAATCTCCAGTTCCCCTGAAAAAAAAAAAA